GGGCAGCCGACTTGGTGAAGCGCTGGCACACCGTTGACTTGCAACGTTGGCGAACCGCTACCCCTGCTACGCTGGGAGGTTCGACCAGCAGCCTAGCTAGCTCTGATGTAGTCAATGTTGCCAATGTTGTTGCTACCATTTGTTCTGAACTTTTCCTAGTGAAACTCTTGCCAATTTTCCCCGTAAACTAGCAAGTAGTGTGTGCACAAGGAAACGACTAAGGACTAAACGAACGCAGAGATCACACGAGCACCACGTGCCTAGCCCGTAGCCTAGCTCCCGTTGCTGCAGTTATCTCCTGCGGTACGGTCTTTCCAGCGGATCAGGAACTCGATCCTTCGGGCTCCTCGAGGGTCACGAACTCTGTGGCTCAGAATATTCTCAGGTGTGATGATTGTTCAGTCGGCGGTCGTGTCATGCTGGCTTGGCGATTTACGTGGCAGTTGGCTTGTGGACGGTATGTAGGGGCAAAAGTACGCTGAACATGGAAGGACGGGCTGACGTACCAGTCAACGAGGAGGAGGAGATGGCGGTGACGGGCGTATCATGTGGCTGATGCGGAATGCTCCACAGTATCGGGGGCGAAGTTTTGAGGTGATGGGCAGCGGAGGTTCTGGTGTCAAGTAAAACTAGGTCGTCGGGCTGGTATGTAACAGGTCGGCGGTTGCGGTCGGCGTTACGTTTAGCGATGATGTTCGATTTTTTTATTGCGTTTGCTGCCCGGGTCCTTGCTGCTCGTAAAATTTTGGTGAACTGTTTGTGCTCGTGGCACCGAGTTGTCGGGATTTGGGGGTCATGGGTACTGTCGGGTCCCTTGTCCGTAGTTCAGGTAAGAACGGCGACTGTTGGGTATGTGGCGGAGGGTGAGGCGGCAGTTGCTGTTCCCAAGTGGTTGGGTCGTCGCACGTGGGCCTCTGAATGAGTTGTTCCAATTGTCTGATTTGTCTCTCTGTCTGTCCGCCGATCTCGGGGTGGTATGAGGGAACTGAATTGTAGTCGCGCGTCCAAATTGTTTGCCACAGGTCCGCCAGAAGTTGCTAGTAGTTCGTATCTTGGTCGCTGATGATTGCTGCTGGTATCCCGTGCAGTCGAAACGGAACGGTGGAGATGAAGAGGTGTGTGCTGTTTCTTCGGCTGTGATTGATTTTTGCAGGCTGCGAAGTGTGCCATTTTCGGTCAGTCGATCGACGACGACCAGGATCGTGTCGTTCCCACTTGCCCCAGCCGGTAACCTCGTGACGAAATCCATCGTCACCTCGGTCCAGCATGCTCTGGGGGGTGGTATCTGGCTGCAACTGTTCTGCCAACCGCTTTCGCTATGATTTCATGAGCTGGCAAGTGGGACACGATGCCAAGTGTTGTTGTAACGTCGGTCAACATCTCGGGCCAGTAATAATACCGCTGCAGCTGCTGCCCGTGTTTTCTCTACCTCGAAATGCCCCGAGGTAACTCCGTCGTGTGTCTCCTGTAACAGTAATTCCCGTAGCAGTGTATACCTGAGCACCCAGATGCGGTCGGTCCCGGCTTTTACGTAATAGACTCCCTGGCTGCTGCGAACTGCTGCAAATTTCCTCCTGTGAAGAATGATCCGTTTGGTACCCGTGGGTAAATAGGCCTGTCAGTAGGGGGCTGGTCTGGGTGAGTAGCATTGCATGGATATGGGCAGTGGGGCGGGTCAGTGCGTCGGCGATGTTCGAGGCTCCCTTTTTGTAGGTGCCCGTGTAGTGAAAATCGGACTCGAGAAAATCGAGCCAGCGAATCTGTCGTGGGTTGAGGTGTAGCTGTGCGTGGAGGTACTGTAGTGATTATGGTCTGTCCGTACTGTCACGTCTGCGCCGGTCAAATAACAGCGCCACACTTTGAACGCGTGCACGATCGCAAGCATTTCACGGTCGTGTATCGGGTAATTTTCTCGAGCGGATGTAGTTTTCGTGACTTGTATGCGATGGGCTGTAGGCCGTTGCCGAAGTCCTGTAGCAGTACGGCTCCGATGGCGGTGTGGGTCGGCGATGCGCAGGACGGGCGGTGAACAGAGAACATTTTTCAGGGCAGAGAAGGCAGCATGCTCTTTCTCCCCCCACGTAAAAACGACCACCTTCCGTAACAAGTCCGTCAGCGGCGCTGTTAACCGTGCCATGTCGGGGACGAACCGACGCACGTAATTGATGAACCCCAAAAAGCTCTGTAGTTCCGTGATATTCGTCGGGGGGTGCCAGGCTTTCACCGTATCCAACTTCTTTGGGTCAATTTTGACCCCAGCCTTTGAAATAACGTACCCAAAAACTCTAGCCTGTCCTGAAAAAACTCGCACTTGGAACCCTTTGTCAGTAGCCGATGCTAGTATAAAATTTTAAAGATGCTTCCAGATCTTCGAAGTGCTGCTGCTTGTCGCGTCTGTAGACGAGGATGTCGTCGAGGTAAACTATCACGAATTTATCTAAAAGTGGCCTAAACGTCTCGTTCATGGCCATCTGAAATGTCGCTGGTGCGTTGTTCAGCCCAAAAACCATCACGGTGTACTCGAACGACTCGTACCTAGTCCGGAAAGCTGTTTTGGCGCAGTCCGGTGGTTCGACCCTAATCTGATGGTAACCTTCCCTTAAATCTATTTTCGAAAAAAACTCGGCTGTTCGCAGTTGGTCTATCAGTTCGTCGGCGCGGGGAATGGGGTACTGCGACTTGTTGAGCACTCGGTAATATATGCACATTCGAAAACCTCCGTCTTTTTTTTGGCGTGAACAGTATCGGTGCGGCGAACGGTGACGAGCTCGGTCGGAAGAATTTCTTCTCTAACAAGTAATCTAATTGCTTCCTCAGTTCGTCGAGCTCGGGTTGTGTCAGTCTGAAACTGGCGCTGTACAGTTGGCTGTGCCCCCGGTTCTAGTTCTATCCGGTGTTCATGTGCTCGCTGAGGTGGTAGTCCTTCCGGTAAGTCGTCGGGAAAAATCCCGGGGTATCGTTTCAACGGTTCCTGCAGTTCGGAGGTACTGCTGCCGGTAGTTTTTTGAAATCACTCGGCTGCTCTGCTCCCTCTACCACTGTAATGTCGACTGCGTACACGTCAGCTCCAGCAGCGACAGCCCGTTTCATGGTGATGGCGTTGACGTGTACCGTTGAAGACTCGAGCGATTGCCAGCGAGGTAGCTCAACCCAGTTACCGCCACTTCGCACAGTGCAGCTACCCGTCGTCCAATCAATTCACGGGTTATACCGTCGCAGCAAATCATGTCCCAGTAAAAGGTCGTGTCGATCTAGTGTCGTCGCGAGCATTTCCTGTGTAAATCCAAAAATTCCCCCGCAGCGGACTTTGACTCTCTCCACCCTTTCCCGTATGGCCAGTGGCGTGCCGTCAACTAAGCGTGAATCAATCTGAGGTAAACAACGGTGAAGTGTCGATTGCAATTTTTGTGCGGTTGCGGTATTAACTAAACTGTGACTTGCTCCTCCGTCGATAAAAATATTCACTGCTGCTCCCTGTATTTTCCCGTGGATCAGTACTGGGCAATCCGTCGCTCTACCCTCTGTGAAGAATGAGGAATGAATGAACTAGCAAGCAGGTGGGTACAAGTAGGAAAACCTAGAAATGTTGTACCCCATATAGTCTACCCCACTACAACCTACACAGACTATAGCATATAAGTTTGACACACCCCCATAGGCAAAGTGGGGGAGAACAAGAGGTCACAAGACCAGTCAAACAAAGCAAAGCAAGCTCAGGGTGGATCACAACGTCACCACACAATCCGAGGACAAGTTCAAGGCCAGAAGGCCAGTTCAGATGCAAGATCATATATAAAGGTAAACAGGCAGGTGCAGGTATAGAAAGATAATAGTACAAGCAAGGTTAAGAAGTGAGCAAGTGAGGACAAGTAGGCACAAGACCTAGCATCGTACAGAAGCGTTGATGATCACCAGGCGGAAGTGCCTTGGTAAAGATATCAGCAGTGTTGGCCTCAGAGGCCACGGTAAGCAAGGCGCAGCTGACCACGCTGCTGCAGCTCACGAGCAAGGAAGTAGCGAAGAGCAATGTGCTTCGTTCTGTGCTCCAGTCTGTGCTCCCGACACAAGGCCAGCATGGCCTTGTTGTCTACGTACAGAACTGGAGGAGAACGAGGCGGCTCTCCTAGGTCCGTCAGCAGGTAGGTGAGCCAGCGTAGCTCTTGTGCAGCCATGGCCCCCGCGTAGATCTCAGCCTCACAGCTGGAGCCGAGAACAGAAGACGAGCGGGTAGACCGCCACGAAACAGAGCCGGAGCCAGGCTGAAGGTGTAACCCTGTGACGACCGCTGCGTAGCCTGGTCGTAAGCCCAAGAAGCGTGTGTGTGACCTGTGAGGACCACTCGACGTCGCCCTCCAAGCACTAGCCCCATGCCTGACGTACTGCACAAGTAGCGCAACACCCTCTTCGCTGCAGCCATGTGCTCCGGTCTGTGTCTCCCAGGAGCAACATAGTGTGCCAAGATGCTAAGAGGGTATGCAAGGTCAGGTCGTGTGCAGGTCATCAGGTACATGAGGCAGCCAACAAGCTCTGGGTGCGGGCCATTCGGCTCTACGGATTCATCCGAAGGCAGAGCTGAGAGCGAGTGGCGAGTAGACAGAGGAGTGGCCTGAGGCAAGAAGTACGTGAAGTTGAAGCGCTGAAGGACCTGCTGCACCATGTGTGACTGAGTCAGGGTAATGGTGCGGGGTGCTCTGTCCCGGGTGATCTGCAAGCCAAGGTAGCTGCGCAGTTCACCCAGGTCTGTGCACGTGTGTCTCTTCTGCAGCTTGGACTTCACGTAGGCTAGTCCAGCAGTGTCAGCAGTGGCAAAGACCAAGTCGTCGACGAACACGAGGATGTAGAACAGCGGCAAAGAGGTGTCGGTGCGCAGTACCCCCTGCGGCAGCACCAGCGCTGACAGCACCTCCAGCTCCAACAGCGCCAACTCCAGCACCCTCAGAAGCACCAGCGCCAGCAGCACCTCCAGCGCAAGCACCCCCAGCAGCTCCAGCTCCAACAGCTCAAACTCCAGCAGGACCACCAGCTCCAGTACCCCCAGTACGAGCACCTCCAAGACTAGTGGCTCCAGTAACTCTAGTGCCGACCCCAGGGTCAGCAGCAACAGTAGCACCTCTAGCTCCAGCAGCACGGCTCCTGCGCCGGGCAAACCACTCGTGCAGCTCCTGCGGAGAGAGTAGCTCCCGCCTCGACGAAGCACCGCCAGAGGCCACACGAGCAGACCCAGCACCCTCAGGCTTGGTACCCCCAGGCTCAACACCCCGAGGCTCCGCACCCCCAGGCTCAGCACCCCCAGGCTCCGCACCCTTAGGCTCAGCACCCCCAGACCCGGCACCCGTAGGCTCAGCACCCCTAGCAGCACCAGAGTCAACAGCTACCTCGACAGGCTCGACTGCGTCAACCTGGGACACACTTGACGGGGCAGGACCCTGAGGGGGGAGGGGGTCTACTGGGGGAGGACCTGGCGCAAGGAAGAGCAGCGGCGGGGGGAGGGGAGCAGTGCGGTAGGGGAAGAGACGATAGTAAGGCACCGACTCGTCAAAGGTGACGTCCTGGGAGGACAGAACACGGCGCGAGGTGGGGTGGTAAAACTGCCAACCAGGCGCGTCAGGGGGGAAGCCAAGGAAGACGCAGGGAACAGCACGGGGGGACAGCTTGTCCGCAGACAAGTCGCAGACAAACGCCCGAGATCCCCAGACCCGAAACGCAGACGCATCGCCAACCTTCCGCGTCCACCGCAAGGTGGGGGAGGTCTTTGGCAAGGAGAGCGGAGATAACTGCAGCAACGGGAGCTAGGCTACGGGCTAGGCACGTGTGCTCGTGTGATCTCTGCGTTCGTTAGTCCTTAGTCGTTTTCCTTGTGCACACACTACTTGCTAGTTCACGGGGAAAATTGGCAAGAGTTTCACTAGGAAAAGTTCATAACAATGGTACAATGAAGTTGGCAATGCAAGACTACATTAGAGCTAGCATTCAGGTTGGTCGACTGCCAGCACAGCATGGTCAACCGCGTTCCAGCACGACTTGGTCGACCACGCTACAGCAGTGCAAAGTCGACAGCTTGCCAACGCTGCAGGTTGACGGTGTGCCAGCATTGCTCACGCAGGACAGCAGTGCACCCGCTTTGCAGGTGCGCGCAGATGATTGGCATGCAAAGTCTCGTCACCTGCACAGCGCACACACCACGTCAACCTCGGGCTTGCGACTGCCTCTGATCCGCCACGACGACCTCGGGATACCACCATGGAGGTCGGTCTCGCCAACTTCGCCTGGGTGACCATCGCACTCCTTCGCAGAACCTCGTCACCCAGGTATCCTGGTCGACCGGGCAACTATGTCGACCAGCTGCTCCTGTATGTGCTCGTCGACCTCCCAAGTCGACAACCACACCAAGTCGACCTCACCAGGTCGACCACTCCTCCGGTCGACCAGATCCAGGTCGACGTCACTCCTGGTCGACCAGTGCAGTTGTCAGCTACCCAAGTCGGCGTCACCAGGTCGACGCCCCTTCTACGTCGGCGCCGACTTCCAGACTGACCTCTTGAAGTTGGCGACCTCCCAAGTCGGCGACCTTGCAAGTCGGCGCCGACTTGCAAAGTCGGTGACCTTGCAAGTCGGTGACCTTGCAAGTCGGTGACCTTGCAAGTCGGTGACCTTGCAAGTCGGTGACCTTGCAAGTCGGTGACCTTGCAAGTCGGTGACCTTGCAAGTCGGTGACCTTGCAAGTCGGTGACCTTGCAAGTCGGTGACCTTGCAAGTCGGTGACCTTGCAAGTCGGTGACCTTGCAAGTCGGTGACCTTGCAAGTCGGTGACCTTGCAAGTCGGTGCCCTTGCAAGTCGGCGCCGACTTCCAGGTCGACGTGCCACATCGCCGACCACCAGTTGAAGTCGGCCGCTGGCTTCCCAAGTTGGCGGTATTGCAGTGGCGCCGTGCAAGTCGACCAACCCCGTCGACCAGCTCGTCCAAGTCGGCGTCGCCCACTGCTACAAGTCGGCTGTACCTTCCGTACACCCCACCACGAAGTCGGCTCCGCCCAAGCGTGGACGGGGCCAACACACAATTCCCGTTGACAAGGAGACATGGGGCTGAAGGTTCAGCTGATGCGCTGCGTACTGAACCGCAAACGGCCACAGAAAATGGGGAGCAGACGCATGGATCATGGACGTACGAGCGACGTCCATGACCATGCCAATGCGGCGCTCAGCAATCCCATTTTGGTGTGGAGAGGCCGGAAGCGTGAAGGTCTGGCGGATGCCCTGTGCACGAAGGCTCCCAGACGGGCAGAGGAAAACTCCTCGCCTCTGTCAGAGTGCAGACGTAGAATAGGAAAGTCCGAGCCGGAACTCTCTCAAAGCTGGAGACGAGCTGCGATCCAGTCGATCAACACCTTAGTGACGTCACCCTTGCTGCGCAAGGGGAACACCGTGGTGTAACGCGAGTAGTCGTCAACCACCAACAGGAAGTAACGCTCATGACCCTGGCCACGGACGGGGGCTGGGCCCCACACGTCCATGTGAAGAGTCTGCAGAGGAGCCTCTGTCGGAGGAAACTCGGAGGAGTGAGGGGCGGCGCGCTGCCGCCCCTCGACGCAGGGAACGCAGGTAGGGGCAGGCCCCGGAGGGAGGGGAGGGAGGGACCGTGGGAGACCAGAGACAAGGACACGGGAGGCCATGCCTCGGAGACGAGGCAGGGAGGGGTGACCAAGGCGGTGGTGCCAAAGGAGAGTCTGGTGGGACAGGAGACGACATGAGCAGGGAGCAGACTCAGGACCAAACCTGGACGCTGCAGCAAACACCTGACTCGACGCAGCTACCTGATCAGACTCAGCAACCGGAGGAGACTCAGTAGTCAGTGTGTACAGGCTCGACCTCGGTCGACGGGTAAACGTGGCCAAGTGTCGGCCCGTCCGAGCACACGTACACTGGGTCACCCGCTGACTCACAGGAGTGAACTGGTCAACCCCCCCATCCTGTAGATCAAGACCATTCACCAAGTTTGTAGAGAACGAGGGGAGGTAGAGACCTGTTAGGGTGCCAGAGGGGGCTGCCTGACACGGTAAGACAGTGGAGAAGCGAGCAAGGACAGGACCCCCAGAGGGGTCTGCCAGGGAGACCACAACCGGCCGACTAAGCTGCGTAAGCGTGGTGCGGTCTCGAAAGAAGGAGCGGGAAGCACCCGAGTCAAGGGTGAAGGTGTGTAAGGCCTGAGCCGACGTGGTACCTGAGATAGCAGACTCACCAGCACCTGGGGCAGCAGACGCACTAGCACCTAGAGCAGCAGCCTCACCAGCACCTAGAGCAGCAGCCTCAATGCCCGGGCTAGGCAAAACACACAGGTAACAGTCACCCTCATCACTAGTAGACACAGCATACATGGCAGCAAGAATAGCATCATAGTCAAGATCAAAGATAGCAACCCCCGCCGTTGACAGCTCTCCCCAGCGAGGGATCTCAATGGTGTCAGGGAACTGGTGACTCCAAGCGTCCGTCAGGCGGCGGAAGCAGCGCTGGGTGGAGTGCGAGCCCCCGCACTGCTCACCAGCGCGGTCGCCAGTATGGAGGACGTAGGTACAGGGACCAGTACCCCCACCTCGCTGACGCCCAGCGTACCACTCACGAAGCTGCTGGGGGGACAGGGTCTCACGATTGCGCTGCTGCTGCTGGCGCTGACCACCACCTAAGCCGCCCCGCTGTGCAGAGCCACCCCGACTAGCTCCACCTCCTCCGCCACCACCTCCGCCACCGCCGCCACCGCCTCCTCCTCCGCTCCCACCGCCACCGCCGCCGCCGCCACCGCCGCCACCGAAGCCCCCACCCCCGCCACCACTCCCACCACCACCCCCACTCCCTCCGCCTCCTCCACCTCCACCTCTACCGCCCCCGCCAGCCCCTCCAGTGCCCTTGCCCCCCTTGCCCTTGCCGGTGCGGCGTCGCCCGCTAGGGTCAGACGCAACACCGTCCGACTCGGTGCCAACGAAGTCGACGGCAGCAGCAGAGGCAACAGAGGGCAAAAGGGGGGAGGGGGAGCACCCCTCAAAGACAGGGGCACGCGGGTCACCTCTAGAGGCTCCTACAGCGACTATACTCTTCTCAGCTGCCAGGGGGCGCTCCTCGAGGAGGTCAACGATGAGTGTGGTGGGGAAAACAGAGAGGAAGTGGTCCCTGACCGAGCGAAGGGAGTCAGGGAGCCGGGTGACTATGTAGTAGAGGGTGATGTACATGGGGGGGGGGGGGGGGTTCTTGGCGCAGAACTCAGCAGGAAGCGCAACGCGGTAGCGGGTGTCACTAGTGCGAAGGTGCGTAACGAGGTCAGCGACAGTGGGAAAGGCGGCGAGGTCAGGAAACAGGTACGGCAGTATGAGACGGCTAAGAGCAGCAATGGCAGGGGAAGAGTAGCGTGCAACTACAACCGTCGTACAAGGTCTGAGCACTCTTGTACTGACTAAAGTGCGCACGCTCAGTGGTCGGTAAGTGGCGACGCACAGCAAGACGGGCAGCACCATCGCGCGTGGCCCACTGTGAGCGAACAGTGCTGTCAGCATCAGCAGGCGGGGCAGGAGAGGCACCAGAGGTGAGATCGAACAAGGAGAGTCCGTCTGCCCTATTGAACTGTAGGAAAAGCTGCAGATTATCGACCCAGACCTCGAAGTCAAGAGCACGACCCTCAGCATCAAAGGTAAGGACACTGGGGGTAGCCATGACAGCAGCGGTCTAGCAGGGAGGGCTCTCACCAATCCGGGTGGGTAGGGCCGGGGCGCGCCGGGAGGAACAAGGCTGCAACAGCGGTGGCAGCGGCTCGGCAGTGGCAGTGGCGGCTCGACGATGGCCTCGGCGGCTCGGAGGTAGGCGGCTCGGCTGCTCGGCGACTCGGTGGCTCGGCTGTTGGGCGGCTCGGCGGTTCGGCAGCTCGGCGGTTCGGCTGCTCGGCGGCTCGGTGGCTCGGCGGCTCGGCTGCTCGGCTGTTCGGCTGCTTGGCGGCTCGGCGGCTCGGCAGTGAAGGGGCCAGGGAGGGGCCGAAATGGGGTGGCGTCGAGGCCGCAAGGGGCGGCGACGAGGCCGCTAGAGGGTGGCGACGGGGCCGGGAAGGGCAGCGACAGGGGCCGCTGGGGGCGGCGACGGGGCCGCGAAGGGCGGCGACAGGGCCGCGAAGGGCGGCGACGGGGCCGCGAGGGGCGGCGACGGGGCCGCGAGGGGCGGCGACGGGGCTGCGAGGGGCGGGAGCGGGGCCGCGAAGGGGCCGCAAGGGGCCTGGAAGGGCGGCGACGGCGCCGCTAGGGGCGGTGACGAGGCCGCGAAGGGGCCGCGAGGGGCCTGGAAGGGCGGCGACGGGGCCGCTAGGGGCGGCGACGGGGCCGCAAAGGTGCCGCGAGGGGCCTGGAAGGGCGGCGACGGGGCCGCTAGGGGCGGTGACGGGGCCGCGAAGGGGCCTCAAGGGGCCTAGAAGGGCGGCGACGGGGCCGCTAGGGGTGGCGATGGGGCCGCTTAGGGTGGCACGAGGGGCCATGAGAGGGGCCTCTAGGAGGGCTCGACAAAAGGGCGGCCAACGGAGCGCGCTTCGGGCAGGGGCGACTCGCGCTCCGGTCAGAAAAAAGAGTCGATGTTCAGTGGTGGGCCCTAGGAAGTTCCCACTAGGGAACCTGCTCTGATACCATGTGAGAATTGAGGAATGAATGAACTAGGAAAGAGGTGGGTACAAGTAGGAAAACCTAGAAATTTTGTACCCCATATTGTCTACCCCACTACAGCCTACACAGACTATAGCATATAAGTTTGACAGGCGCTGGCGCTGACGCACACGTCCGTGCGCGGGTGCGCACGGTTGTACGCAGCTGCGCGCTGCTGCTGCTGCGGTCGTGACGGAACGGGGCGAGGCAGGCGACGCGTGAAGGGACGGGACGGCGCGCAGCGGGGGCGTGACGGATGGGAAGGGCGCGCAGGGCGCGACGGACGGACAGGGCGGACGGGCGCGACGGGGAGGGCGCAACGGGCGCGGCGAGCAGGCCTTCGGAGCGCGAAACGGGGGGGCCTGCAGAGAGCGAAACGCGGGACTTGTGGGTGTTGTCCATGGGGCGATTCGGGGGACCCGCGGGGCGCATTACGGGCTGCGTGACGGGTGGGCCCATGATCCAAAAAAAAAAGGTCTTCGGATCTTACAGCTCTAGTTACCATGTCAGAATAGTAGCCTTAGGGTTTGGGGTAGCGTGAGCGAGAGAAACAGGAAGGAAGGGGTTTTTTTCACTATAGAGTCAAAGGTACAAAAAGGGAGGAAAGGGGGTAAACCACCAAACAAGAAAATGTGATAACTACACTACTGCTAGATCTACATGCAGTTATAATAAAGTAATTCTGACACAAACAGCTGACTCGTTATTGAGCAGTTGCCCGAGTCGTCACTGTATCGAACCGCAACAGCAACAGTAAAACAGTTAGAAGCTATAACCTTTGATATTCCCTTGTACTCTTATAAAAGCTTTTATCTCTTTGCTTTAATCAATCTACTTTGCCCTCACATACCAGCGCAAGGTGGTTCACACACTTTTCAATAAACGCTTCCGCTATTACATTGTTCTACTCAGAGTTTAGTCCTGCAAAGATCCTAAGGGCTTTTCTCAGCCCAACAAGACACACTATGTGCGCAATAGTTGTCTATGTTGTGGTACAGGAATTGTTCATATACCGAAATCTTTCGTAACAGGGCACCGAGAAAACTTCTAATCGCCATTATTGTCGTTCATCCGTTCACCTTAGAAACAACTCTCTTGCACAGAGCTCTCAACCCAACCCAAACTAGTTTAGTCCAGCTTAACCCAGCCCAACCCACACGATGCGTCCTTCGCCTATTGCTCTTCACCAGTGTCATCACATCCAATCCCTCACGTATTAGAATCTAAGGCAAGGAATGATTGAACTATCGAGAAGTTTGGTACAAAAGTGAAACCTAAGGGTTTGTACCCCACAGTGAGTACCCTGTTGAAATGTATTTGTATACATTCATATAAATGCCTACAGTAGCCTACAAAAGCGTTGATGATCACAAGGCGGAAGTGCCTTGGTAAAGATATAAGAAGTGTTGGCCCAAGAGGCCACGTAAGCAAGGCGCAGCTGACCACGCTGCTGCAGCTCACGAGCAAGGAAGTAGCGAAGAGCAATGTGCTTCGTACTGTGCTCCAGTCTGTGCTCCCGACACAAGGCCAGCATGGCCTTGTTGTCTACGTACAAAACTAGAGGAGAACGAGGCGGCTCTCCTAGGTCAGTCAGCAAGTAGGTGAGCCAACGTAGCTCCTGTGCAGCCATGGCACCTGTGTAGATCTCAGCCTCACAGCTAGAGCCGAGAACAGAAGACGAGCGGGTAGACCGCCACGAAACAGAGCCGGAACCAAGGCTGAAGGTGTAACCCTGTGACGACCACTGCGTAGCCTGGTCGTCAGCCCAAGAAGCGTCTGCGTGACCTGTGAGGACCACTGGACGCTGCCCTCCAAGCACGAGCCCCATGCCCGACGTACTGCACAAGTAGCGCAACACCCTCTTCGCTGCAGCCATGTGCTCTGGTCTATGTTTCCCAGGAGCAACATAGCGCGCCAAGATGCTAAGAGCGTATCCAAGGTCATGTCGAGTGCAGGTCATCAGGTACATGAGGTAGCCAACAAGCTCTGGGTACAGGCCACTCGGCTCTACGGACTCATCCGAAGGCAAAGCTGAGAGCGAGTGGCGAGTAGACAGAGGAGTGGCCTGAGGCGAGGAGTACGTGAAGTCGAAGCGCTGAAGGACCTGCTGCACCATGTGTGACTGAGTCAGGGTAATGGTGCACTGTGCTCTGTCCCGGGTGATCTGCAAGCCAAGGTAGCTGCGCAGTTCACCCAGGTCTGTGCACGTGTATCTCTTCTGGAGCTCAAACTTCACGTGGGCGAGTCCAGCAGTGTCAGCAGTAGCAAAGACCAAGTCGTCGACGTACACGAGGATGTAGAACGGCGGCAAAGAGGTGTCTGTGCGTAGAAACAGCGACGGGCTGGCAGTAGAAGGAGCAAACCCAAGAGCCGCAAGTGTAGTCCTCAGTGTGTCGTGCCACTCACGGGGCGCCTGGTAGAGACCGTAGACTGGCCGCCGGAGGCTCAACTGGGTACTAGGAGGAAACGACCCAGTGAAGCCAGGAGGGCGGCGCAGCCAGATCTCCTCGTGCAGGCTGCCCTGTAGGAAAGCAGTGCTGAAGTCAAGAGAGTGAAGCTTGTAGTCGCGCTGAGCGGCTATGTGCAGCAGCACCCGAAGAGTGGTCATCTTCGAGGTGGGAGAAAAGGTCTGAAAGTAGTCAACTCCTTGCCGCTGACTGAAACCTCGAGCCACGTAACGCGCCTTGAAGACAGACGGAGAACCCGGCGGCCGCTTCACCCTGAAAATCCACATGCCACTGACGATGTTTGCCCCAGGTGGGGGAACCTCGTCGACGTAGGTGCCTGTGGACTTCCAGGAAGCCATCTCTACGTCCATGGCTGACTGCCACTGAGAGGAGTAGGGACCCTCTATCGCCTCTGCATAAGAGCGCGGAGTCCGGATGTCTGGTGCATCCGGGTCTCCCTCAGGGGCAATCAGCATGGACACGAGATGACGTAAGGTAGCAGCAAAACACTGGAACTCCTCTTTCCTGTCCTCAAGAACGTCCGTGCTAAGAGCACACTCACCCCTGATGGACGGAGGACAGACAGACCTAGACTCAGCAACAAGACTAGCACTGTAGTCTAGACGACAGTGAGCAGCGAAGTCGACAAGCTCAGCAACTAAGACAGACGCAGCAGAGGACTTAAAGGAAGGGTCAGTGACAACAGGATCCAGGAGACGCGTGACGGTAGGACTGGCAGCACGAAGGGAGCCATACCCCGGGTCAGCAAGAGCAGGAAGAGAGGACTCTGGAGGAGACGGCAAGGGGACACGCAGTGGAGCAGTGGAAGGATGTAGTGCCATCTGGTGCGTGCCCGGGACCGCAGGAGGACGCGGACGCGGAACACGACGACTAGTGCGAGCAGCACGAACAGGCGACGCAGGACGGGACGCACGCTCACGACGCTCAGCAAGACCTCCAGTAGGACCAGTGTAGGGAGAAGGAGCAGGCAGTGGGGAGGCGGGCTGTAACTATGACTCAGACTGGACAGGCGGCGGACACTCTAAGGAAGGAGCAGGACCAAGAGAAGGCGGAAGACCAAGAACCGGCTCAAGGAGCGGAACGAAGTACGGTCGCAGCCGCACAGCGCCTTCAAAACTAGCAGGGACAGCACCAGCACCCCTAGTGGCAGCACCAGCATCAGTAGCACCCCCAGATGCAGCTACGTTAGCTCCAGCACCCTCAGAAGCACCAGCTCCAGGAGCACCTCCAGCGCCAACACCCCCAGCAGCTCCAGCTCCAACCGGACCACCGGAAGATGCAACAGCTCTAGCTCTAGCAGCACCTACCCCAGCAGCACCGCCAGCATCTCCAGCACAAGGAGCACCCCCAGGCCCAGCACCTCCAATACCTCCAGTACGAGCACCTCCGGGACCCGTGGAACCAGCACCCTCAGCAGCAGTAGAACCTCCAACTCCAGCAGCACCTCCAGCTCCAGCAGCACGGCTCCAGCGCCGAGTAAACCACTCGCGAAGCTCCTGTGGAGAGGGTAGCTCCCATCGGGACGAAGCACCCGAAGGACCTCCAGACCGAGTACTGCCAGACTCCA